ATATAGAGGGAGAAAGAGGAGTAAGAATTATAGACCAGTCAACTTCTAGAAGCTTTCAAGAGAATTGAACTATCAATCATGTAATTTGCAACCACCTAGGAGATAAAAAGGGAGATGAGTGACATATAGCATGGATTATACAAAATTAGGCATGTTAAACTAGTCTCATTTGATTTCTCAGCAGAAGTAGGAGAGCAATAGTTGGTGCCATATCTACATTTTGGGAAGGCTTTGTCAAAGTCCCACTGGATTTTTTTAAAAATTACCTGGAAAAATAGTGCAGATAAATCTACTACAGCTCTTACACAAAAACGGGTGAGTAGCACAACTCATTCCCAAAGTGTACAGTTATCAGTGGCTCGTGGTCAGAGCAGAGGACTCTGTCGATTTTGGGAAGGGTTTATCAGAGTCCCACTGGATTTTTTAAAAATGACCTGGAAAAATAGTGCAGATAAACCTACTACAGCTCTTACACAAAAATGGGTGAGTAACACAACTCATTCCCAAAGTGTACAGTTATCAGTGGCTCGTGGTCAGAGCAGAGGACTCTGTCAGCCAAGATCCACTGGGGTCTGTGTCAATTTCCTTCTAAATTTTCATCAGTGAAGAATGGATGGAAATACATCATTACTTACCCCTGGCAGTGACATGGAGCTGGGAGAGATGTGCTTCAGCACATCAAAGGATAAACTTTACAGCTTCAAATGATCTTGGCAGACTGGAGACGTGAGGACTGGGTCTAGTCTGGGGCACTGTGCCTCAAAAAAGAGGAGGACCTGCTTGAGAAGGTGTAGGGAAGTGTCAGTGTGTTGACTAAAGCTGGCTCAGGTTGGAAGGGCTGAAAGGAAAGCACCGGAATAGCTTGGCTGGAACTGATGTACGGGAATGACGATGGCTGTAGCCTCTGCTCCAGGAAGTTTTCAGGATGATGGACAAGCATTTCCCTCAGGAGTGACCTGGGCAAAGTGGCTCCTTGGTGGGATCAGCCCCCAGCTGGGCTCCAGCCCCGGTGCACCCACTGTCGTGGGCTGTTCCCCAGGCGCGGGGCTGTGCGTGTCAGCAGGGACGGGGGCAGAGTCAGCTCTGGCTTTGCCTTCTTGGTGCAGTCCTTGGGTAGTGAAAGGCTGAAGGCACGTAAGTGCTTTGTTGAACAGAAGCCAAAGCAAGCTGCTACACAGAATGCACCCCCTGTTTCCAAGTATTTCATTTATTTTGTAATTAAGCAATAATTGCTGAGGCACTGGGCACTTCTTCAGGATTAATGACTTGCTGGGGGATGGCAGAATATCTGATCAGTGCTGCAACCATTTTCTCCAGCAAATACCTGCTTGTTCCTGCCATTCTGAAATGAGTACAACAACACAACCTGCCAACATATGGGTTTTGCTGTTAGCAGCTGAGGGATGGGGAGCAGGCATTAATGGGTACCTTAGGCAATCAGGTTGCTTCAGTTGTCTCTCACCATTCCATTCAGAGCACAGTGTTTTATTAGTCACTTGGTGAATGAAATGGCTTTTTAATTGCTCAGAATCACTTTTTTAAATTACAGCACTTTCTCCCCCCTCTACAGCCCTTGGGAATCCTCTTAAATCCCTTCTCTTCCTTTGCCCTGGAGAGAACCAGTTCTAGTGTGGCAAAGAGGAACCTGCCTGCAGCAGTTTCCTTTGTAATCTGGACCCTGGGAAAAATATGTGCCATTTAAAAAACAGAGGACTCACATTTTTGGTGCTGAAAACCCTCTGCTCCCATAATTTGCAGGTTGATTAAGGAGTAACCTACCCTGCCTAAACCTGTAGACTTTACAGTGTTGGTGTGCTGCTCACTTCTGTTAGTCCCTACATCTGTGGTTTTTTAATGGTCAAGCCCACTACAGCACAGGGACCCCACTGCTTCTTGTGTCCTGTGGCACCAGGAGCTGGCTCAAGCCATGTCCTGTAGCAAGATACCTCCCAGGAGTAGTGTTGGAGCTTTAAATGTCCTTTAGACAGTAAAGCACAACAGCAGGTGAGAAGAAAGGTGTATCCCAAACAGGTGAGTGGCAGCATGAACATTTCCAAAGGGCTGCAGGATTGGAGCCATCACATTGCCAATGCAAGAAAACTGAGAAACACTTGTGAAAAGCATATAGGACAATAAACCAGTTCACAGTGTCCTAGCAGGCTTTGGAACAGGAGTCAGGGGGGATTTGCTCACTCAAATATTAGGTAATGTGCTCAGTGCATGATTGATTAATCCATAGGTACTTCCCACAACAAAACTTCCATACTGCATCCACAGTGCTGCTTTCTCCATGGCTGCCTTCTAGAGAGATTTCACAAAGGAACAATTGGGGTGTTTTTTCTCTGCCACCTTTAAATTACCAGTTTTACTTCTGTGTTTGAATGATGGCAGCCTTGTTACCCAGCTGCAATGTGTTCACTGAGGGATCCCAGAGCCGCTCTCCATCCCTTAATTCTGCCCCTTCAGCACAAGGATCTCTTACTCAATAGGGAACTACTGGCTTGGAGTATTTAGAAGTGGAAGTGTCAGTAATCATCTTCATGGCACAAAGCTAAAAATGGTTTAAACTCTGAGGAAGACCAGAAACCAAAGCTCACCTCTTTCCCCATACAGCTGTTCAGCCCTCTTTTTGCCTTCTGAATTCCTGAGCTGAAGCCTGTCAGTAGAAGCCAGAAACAAATCCAGCCCAAGCTGTGGGCATCACTCCCATCTCCTCCATCCTGACCAACAGCTGGACCAAACAAATTTCAGCAGCATCCTCTTGAGGCCATTACGCTGCCTCTTGTGCCTGTCCTCACCCTTTCTTTCTCCCCCATTATGTTTCCTTCTCTTAGTTGCTCAAAACCCAGCATTTAATCCTGCTTGCCCTAAAATCCAGCCACAATCCAACCATCCAGAAAAAATGAATTATTCCTGGTGATGCTTTTATGAACCGCCTGCCTGCTTCCCGTGGGACCCCTGCTCTGCTGTGCTTCGCGCTCAGAGCTGGGAGGAAGAGCTGCTGTACAGTCTCTCTTTAGTTCAAACAGAATTGATGCAGATCCTTTTGCCTTGTGCCACTCATAACTCTTTGTGTTGACTGCTCCTTTCGGCAAAGAACACATTTCCCAGAAGTTCAGCAACTTGTCTGAGTAACAGTAAATGATCCATGAGAACCAGTGCTGATACCTGGCTCTGCTGCCCCACCTCCTTCCCATCACTCAAATGCTATTGTTCCAAACCTCACCACGATCGCTGGATTCACAGGAAATAAAAGCTACAGAGGACAAGATCTGCTGTTGCCCATAACTCCATTAAAATCAAATCAAGCTATTGAAATTTTTTGGGCAAATTGTCAAGTCTGGATTTACTAAGTCAGAAAGATTTTCATCCACCCCTGTTCTCCTCAGCTTAGGTGAGGGGAGCCAGCAGCCCTCCGTGCTGTTTCCAGCACAACACCACCATTTGCCTTTGCTGGAGGCTACCCAAGCAGAGGGCTCTGCCCAGTTCCTCAGATCAGTAGCTTAAAAATGTCCTGATCACCAGGATTCAAATCAATTGATTTGACTTATTGTCTGTCTGAGGCTCTCTTTGCTTGTAGTCATGTTTTTCCAGGACTCAGGGGTTGTTAAGCAGCTCCTCCCAGGAGCTCAGTGTTCAGTGTTGAGTAAGCAAAGGTTGAGGTGGGGACAGCAGAGTCAGTCATTTGTGTTAGAAAACCTTTTTGTGAGCTTTACATCAGGAGAAGGAGATCTCTGTTTTGGTCAGCATGTTTCTACCAGCCTTGTTCTTGGTGTAGTCATCTGTTAATAACAGTGGGCTGGCATCCAGCCCCACTCTCCATCCCAGCACTGTATCTATTGCAAGCTCACAGTGTGAGCTAGTGCTCCCCCTCTCCCAGGGGATGCCACCACTTGTTGGGACCTTTGATGTTATGTATCTGAAAAAAAAGGAATCAAAAATCCTGTGACAGAAAGGGTGCTAGGTATTATCAGAGACCAGATCTGTTACTGAAGGACCCTCTGTTGTCCGGTGACATATGAGGATGAGCAAACATGGATTTCATTTTAGCTAAGCAGATCATTCTCTCCGACATTTAAGACATAACTTATGTCTTCACTGGGAAGAATTATTGTCAAACACAATTAGTTCTGCAAATCCTAGTTGTTTTTGGAGACACATCCAGACTTAGTTCTGGAGTTACTTAGAGATGAATAAATTACAGGGGTCAGTCTTTGACCTAAGCAAGGGACTGCAATAACTTGCTCCATCTAATAGTTCCTTTGTATAGTTTAATAGAGACCAATGCACAGAGCATCCAGCACACAGAGCTGGTAGGACTGTGGGTCACATTCCCATCTTGCTTGGGGAAGAGATAACATAACACGCCTTGAAGCAAAAAAAATCTCAGCAATTATTCTAAAGGAGAGAGAAGGAGGGAGGAGGAAGTTTGGAGCGTAAGTACTTTAAGTGCTTCATAGCTAAGACACTTCCCCCTCCGTGCCTGAGTCCCGTGTGTACAGGGGTATTTCGACTCTGGTTCCTTTTGTGAGGTACCACAGAAGTTACTAAAAGGACTAGACAATAACTAGAGGGTTTCTATCACTTGTTCCAGTGGTTAAGATCTGATCTGATGGTCATTTTTCCACGTTGAACATATTCCCATAGACCTTGACTGGGAAGGCAATGTAGGACCTGGAAACCTCCCCCCTGTGACTGCTGAGCATGCAAACACGAGGTGCTCCAAGCTTCAGCATTTGTAGTTCATTTGGGAAGGAGGTACCATATGCACCAACTGTGCACAAAACCTTCTTGATAGAGAGCAAAAGGGATGCTAATTCCAGCACTGGGCTCAGACACATTACTGGTGAATAACCAGAAAGGTTTAAAAAGAAATGCTGACTAAATTAAGCGAATCAAGCCAGCAGATGTGCTCTTCAGAAGAGCACAGCTGTCTTTTAAATGTCTCTCCCACTGAAATTACATTTTCAAGAGTTTTTTGTCCTTTGCGTTTTCTTCAGGATCATCCATGAGGATGGCTTCTCTGGAGAAGATGTGAAGCAGTACAAGCCAGTGGTCTACAGCAACACTATACAGTCACTGGCAGCTATTGTCCGTGCCATGGATACCTTGGGCATCGAGTACGGCGATAAGGAACGACGGGTAAGTTAAAATCACCACTGCCTGTACACACACTCCAGACCATGAACAGGAGGCATTTGCACAATCTCAGTGCTTTGGAGGGATAAGGAGGGAGGGGAGATTTACATCACTGCCGTATGCTTCCTGCACACGCATTTTGTACAGCAGAGATAGAATTGCACGTGATGTGCCATTTGTACACTTATGCTGGGAAGTGTAGCCTTGGGGACCACTGTGGCACAAAGGCCACAATCTCTCATGCCCTGGCTCTAGTCGGGCCAGGGAAGAAAAATAATCTGTTGTCTAGGGACAGCCTAGACAGATCTACTGATAGATTTGAGAAAACAGTGAGAACATGCGTCCTGTCTCCTGTCTCCTGTGCATGTGGAGGACACACAGGAGACAGGACACACAGGCTGCATGGACTGATGAATCAGGGAGAAGTCTTGCTGCCATTCAAAGCTCTTCCACCAGCTGCTAATGTAGGAAAGCTTTTAGGATTAACTTCACTGGACCTTGATGGCTTCTACTCACACATCCCCTATTTAAGTGTACCCAAACAGCAATTTCAGTTGCAAACTGCATTACTTCAGCAATGTTGGTATGGACAGGCTCTTAGGCAGCAGCATTGGCATCTGTCTTATCAGAACAGCTATGTGATCCTTGGCAGCCTTCTTGTACCACACACCTAGGCCAGCCTGTCCTTTTACAGTTGCTAGTCTGTGATTACTTTCACCAGCTCCCTATTTTTAAACAGTGGCTCCTCTGTGAGGTGCCCCTGCCAGCCTCTGCCTTGCATTGCTGGCTCAGACCAAGCCCACACAGAGGAACTCAGAACCTTAGAGTGGAGTCAAAACCACCCTTTTTGCATGCTGCAATCCCAGAGAAGGTAAAACTACTGATTTAACTGGAAATAAAATAATTTCAAAATAAAGACCTGGTAAAGGCAAAGTCCTATATGCCAGTGAATTTGTCATGACTATTTTTGGGTAGCTATAAAATGACAGATGTACAATGTACTCCGAACTCCTTATCTGAGTGTTGATAATAAAAGCATTCACTAGAAGGGATGCCAAAATCCTGCTATGTTGTTACTGTATGAGAAGGTACCTTATTTCTCCCAGTCACAAAGAGGTACTTTGATTTCTTTGCATCTAGGGATTTTCCCGTAGGAACTCTAAATCCTGGAGACATTTCCATCCCAAACGTGGAGATGATACCATAATGGAGTTCTTGTGAGCTTGCCGAGAACTAATGCTGATGGCTTTCAAACTGAATATATTAATCTGTTGATTACTCAGTGACTCAGCTCTCAGCAAGGCAATGTATCTCACTCAGCTAAAACCTATGCCTAGGAAAACAGAAACAAGTCATTCTCCATGTCTGATAAATAGTCTGTGGCAGACAGCTTTAAAATGTTTTTTTTTTTTAAACACCTAAAGTCCTAATTTGAGGAGGGAAAACTCATCACTGCTTTAGTGCCAGGCCTGGCACAGTACAGGGGGTGGAGGAGGAGAGCTGTTATCAGGACTGCCAGGAACAAGAGGTGGAGTACTGAGCTGAACAAAATGTTGTGTCCGTTCATATTCCTGTGGAAAAGATGCCAAATGTTCCTAGGGTTGTACAAGAACTCAGGCTGGAGAGGAGCTCAGGAGGTGTCGAGCCCAACCCCTGCTCAGGTAAAGTCTAAGGTCAAACCAGGTTGCTTAGGGCTCTATCCAGTGGTGTCTGAAATCATTCAAGATGGAGACTTCACACCCTCTTTGGGCAGCCTGCTCCACTGCTCTTAGAGTCCTCGTGAGGAAAAGTTTCTCCTTATGTCTAGCATGAACCACTGTTGTTTTAATTTATGCTTTATGGCAGTAAAGATCTCGTATTATGCTTTGCAAAATAAAAAGTAAGTTTGATTAAGTTCTCCCCAGCCTTGTTTCCTCTAAGATGTAGTTCTGGAGGAATTACTCCTGTCTAACAAAGGTGTCATGCTGACTGTGTGAGACAAGCCTGCCACAAACCACTATAAACCAAATCACTGCCTGGGAGGGTGGTTCAGTGTATCTGTTCCCTTCATAGATGGCAGAAATATTTCTTCATCCAGCAGCAGGCAAAGGAAAAGGAAACGAAGAGGAAAAGGGAAACTAAGGGAATGAAACCACGTCTCTCAGGCTGTGATCTTCCACTTGCTCCTTTCTCTTAGGCACAGAAAGTTGCTGGTATTAGTATGAAATAGTATTTATTTTAATCTTACAAAGAAGCACATGGCTTCTGCTGCCCTGCTTTTGTTATTAATGCACAGCTGCTAAAAAGAGAGGCCATTAAACAGGCGATTTGTTGAGTATTATGCTACATGGTTCATCCCTTTTCAGGCAAAGCTTTTCTATTTTAAAAGTCATTCCTCAGCCAAGGGTTTCCAATGCAAATCTTTTAGTGGGGGATTTTTCCCTACTCATCACTTAAGCCCCAGGAGAAGGGAGCTCAGGAAGGGGAGCCAGGGCTGTGGCTGCTCCAGCCTGATTCAGCAGCAGGGAAGGAGGGGACTTGTGCCTAGGACAGGTTTTCCCCAGAGACCACTTGGCTATTACTGCTTTCCCCATCCCACATTCTGGGAGATCATCTGCACCCATATCCCTTCTAAATGATACCTTGACCACGTTCAAAGAGGAAAAACCCTCCCCTACTTAATAAGTGCATGTTATTATTGACAGAAAATAACCAAATCCTCTCACTGTTCTCATTTTTATCTTGCCCATTATTGTACTTCCAGTGTTTAGTCTAAAGGAAGTGAAGAGACTGGGGGAAGACTAAACCCCCTTGCTTTTGGTGGTCAAAGTGAGATCAGTGTAGGAAATAGGACCTAAAAAGACAAAATAAATCACAAACAGCATATGCTCCAGGTCTTGCTGACCCTCTCTGCTGACTTCTCCCCAGGTCGAGAACAAAACAGCCTGTGTGTCAGATTTCACTTTTATGTGTGCTCCTTTTCCAGACCAGCTGGTTTTCTTGCAGCTTTGCCCAGCTCACAAAAGGTTCATGGCTTGTGGGCAGCACCCAGGTCCTTGTTTTGTGACCTTCAGTGGGGAAGGCAGGAGCACATCCTGCCAGCTCACAGCACATTATCACTGTGCACAGCATGGAAGGCCAGGCTGAAACTCCAGAAAAGCTGTGCAAGTGCAGAGGCACAAATCCTTCACGTGTTACAAGAGGGCGGGCAGAAAAGGAGCAGTCAGTAAGGAGACAGGAGCCAGCTGCAGGAGAAGTGGCATCTGTGGGTGTTGCTCATCTCCAGGGCCACCACTGCCCAGGTGGATCCCTGACCAGACAAGGGGTTGCACACAGGAAGAGAGGCTGAGGCTTAGTCTCACCTCCCTACTCAGGACAGCTGGTCTGTAGGGCACTACTCAGTCCTTACCTTGATAATCAGATTAACAGGCAGGAAAGAGTCAGGCTGTAACATGTAGCCTGTGGATTAAATGGTCCTCTAAAGTGCAAATGTATTAATAAAACAAGGTCCTCACTGATTCCATTTCAGTGTACTCAGGCAGAGGAAATGGGAAATGGAGGTTTGAAACCAGGAATCTAGAAGTCAGTCCAAGTGTTTGGAAAGGATCAAGCAGGAAGGGCAGGGTAAGGATGGATTTTCATATCTCTGTCTGAAAATCTGGTTCTGAAGTCTGGCTTCAGAAACCCCTTCCAGAAGAAGCATAAGGTCTCTTCCTCTGTGGGTTAATGCTGACCCCAGAACCCACTTAGAAATGCAGACTTGCAATCCCACTTTGGTGAAATGCCAGTGCTGCAGCCAGGCTGGGGGGCCTGAGGGCGTGTCTTCAGGCTGGATTGGTCCCAGGCTGCAATGGGCATCCTGCCCTGTGCAGGCTGGTATGAAAGCAGCTGTAGAGCATGCTCATATTTTCATAAACCAGACAAAAACAGACTGAAATTGTTCAGAAAGTACTCGACAGAGAATGCAAATATCAATTGCATGGCTCAGATCCAAGTGTTTGAAGTGAGAGGTCACAGGTCACTTGGGGTCCAGAGGTGACAGGCAGTGATCTTCACATCAAACTTTTTCCCAGTGTGAGTTTGGACATGTGTCTGCTTCAGCTATGAGCAGGAAAACTAAAAAGCTGCTGAAGTGTTAAAATATTTTGATTGGGATATTTTTTCTTTCGGACTTTGTAGCAAAATGTGTCTGTGGTGACCTTCTGCTATGTATGGTCTGCAACTCCTGAACTGTAAGCCAAACAAAGATGTGCTGGGACATTTTAAAATACTGGCTAGTGGCCTTGAATAAAGCCCTTCTGTAGCGTAATTGAACAGCCCACCCGGGGAGGCTGGCAAAGAGGTCCATGTCAAATCTGCTTCTGAACAGAGAGGTGCTTGTAGAAACCTGGTGCCTCCAGCACCTTCCCCTCTGCACATGCCAAAAGGGGATTTTAGGAACTGTCCTCTTCCTCTTGTTCTTGCTTGGCAGGAGCAAAGTCACAGCCGCTGTCACCTGCTGCCTTCCAGGCGCTGGAGGGGAGCAGTGTGGGGGAGGATCTGTCTTTCATAAGATCTGCTCTGCGTAACTGGCTTTTTGTACTTGTCAGCTCGAGATATTGTGCTCCTTCGTTTGAGTCAGGTATCTGTTTAGACCAGCTGGCTCCTACTGTGTGTCCGCTACCCAAGATTTCTCAGAAATACAGAAAGGCTGCTAATAATTTCAGGGAGGGCAGGTGAGGTTAATCAGGCACTGCTGTGCTGGTAAGAAGCCTCCCTTAGCTAACTGGGTGATGATCTTGGAGATGGACACAGGATTCCTGGGCTTGTGCTGCTTGACAGAGGATGCAGGCAGTCCTTGCTGGTCTGCTGTTGTAAGTGATGAGTACTTAAGGCTGCTTTGTAGAAGAGCAGGATGGAGTGGAAGAAAAGGGAAAATGGAATAAAGAGGTGGCACTAGACATGACATTTTTTACCTGGTGTCAGCATTTGTCTGGATATCCAGCTACAGACAATGTCTTCTTGCAATAATCACAGCTCACATA